CGGGGACACACATTTATGTATAAAAGACATCAAAAAGTGCATTTTGCATGATAGGAGACCTTCAAATGGCTGACACACAGTGTGGTAGGTCAAAGTCAACAAATTCCAACTGAGTGAGGCTGACTGTGGTAGGTTGGCTCTGAACAAATGAAAGATGTTTTGCCTCTTGAGGGAAACAACCGGGTAGGTCGAGTAGAACTGAAAGCAGCAGAAAAGGACCACACAGACTCCCAAAGCACTGATGCTCGCAATGCACAAGATGTTGATCCATAAGTCTAATGTTTTTCATTAGTTCCATTTTACACCTACTCTCACCTAAAGAAACATGCTATGGTAGATCTACACCTGCCTCTGTGACTCTCTTAGTTGTTGAACTGTCTATCATCCACTTTCTTTAGATAATCAGGAATTCATTCTACAGAATGAGATAGGGCAAACAAATGGCATACAATTGTTTTAAGATACTTATGCTGGAATTCCCAAAAAGTTAAAATGTTCATTATGCCCATATGCATTATTTACTTGGATGCATAGTGCCTTACCCTGAATTAAAGTTGCTACTTATCCAATGCTTTAGTGTATAACACTTGCAAAACTAATAACATAAGCCTCTGTTGCATTTTGTTTTTAGTGCTACTTTGCAAATGTGAGCGTGAAACAAGATAATGAACACAGGAGCATTAAACTAGCTTAACATAAGCATGTTAGTATTGCCATTGTGAACATATTAGCATGCTTAAATTAGCATTTAGCCTAAGGACAGCCTCAAGCATGGAAAGCACATTCATTCATTATGTATACTGACTACTGAGTTTAACATTTTGTCATTGCTTATACCGCACAGGCAATATGTGCATGTGAAATCACTTTTTTACTTTAACAGTTATCATTGACCATTTTTCACAACATGTGTTTGGCGCTCTCCAAAGGGCATATAGGCTATGTCGTTTTGGGGAAAAATGGCAAACCACCTATTCTGCCATTTAGGTCTGCAAACAAGGGCTAAAACAGTTGCCTAGTAGAGATGAAATGCCATACCATGGTGGGCCAAATATCCTTTGCAAAGGATATGTCCTGGATGTTTAAATGAAATAATGTATCATTTGGATTTGGCTGCAGTATGCAGTGCTTTGATGCTAACTGGTTTGGGTTCCGGTTGAAGAAGTAACTTACCTTAATGTCAGTTCCAAACCCTAATGGCAGTGAGGTTTCTGAAAGTGGAACTTTATACTTTAGTGGTGCCGGCCTTGTGGTATCTCATCACAACACCGGATTTAATAAATAACACTGCTTGGTGAGCAGTGTGGTGGTTGCTAGAAGCAGACCACACAGAGGATGAAGCCGCTGATGAATTACAGGTACTTACTGTGACATGCTGTGGATCCTCGAGTCAGGCGGTCTCAGGCTATGCCACTCTCTCATTGTGCATCTGTGTGCATCTGGTTGTATGACTCACCCTCAACATTACAGCAGAACTGGATGCCCTGGCTCAGTGGTTAATTACATAAATAGTCCTGTTTCAACAACACTGCACAATAATGGATACAGGCATTGGTACCTTCTTGTGGTAGAAAATAATGTGTATAAAGAGCAGTTCTTTATGCATCTCTTTACATGTATGAGTCATTGATTCGGTCATCTTTTGACTGTAAAATATCTTTATTCGACCTTCTCAAAATGTGTTTCAATAACAGAAATTGTCATCATGGTGAATTGGAATACTATTCACAAATAGGAATTAGACTTTATGCTTTATTAATCAAAATCAGCATGTCATCATAATCCATTAAAAGCAACAAGCCTCTTTCAGAATGTCCACTTGTTGATGATCAAGCAACTTTTATAAATATACTTTTTATACATTTTTGGGGTGTTGACATTTTCAACAAGCAGTCATCCATTAGTGAGTCAAGAATGTTATCGGAGATGTTAAGTCTGATGTGACAGAATAACAATCATCATACCAAAATACATAGAAACTAAACCATAAGAGAAAGGAAAGATTCTGTAGTTAACACATAAAACAAAGATCTCATCAGAAGAACTTGACAATATATCATTCTTTTGTAATACAAAACCAAAACTGAATATTTCTTTTTTTTCATGTTAACACGTGATCGTTGATGGTATTTTGGCAACATTTGCTTTTCAGAAGTTAACAGAAATTCAACTATTATCATAACATAAGTCACTGGACAGTATTCATCTTTCCCCCCCGGCCCAGCCCACCCCCAACAATTCCTTAATACATGATATTGCATGATAAAAACCATAATGAAAATCATTGATATATGAATGACATTTACATAGTCAACAAACTCTTTGTTTGCTGTTAGAGATTCAAAATGACTTCTCATCAACTCAGTGTCCTTTTTATTAGCTTTTCATTGTTTTTTATATATGATTGTGTAATTTGAGATGGAGGTGAATTCAGCTTTGGAGTCCAATCTTACTGAAAATAAAGGAAAATCAAATGTTTTTAACTCTACATATCAAAAAGTCTCCCTGATCAAGTTAAATAACAAGGGAGAAAACGATATTCTAAATGTTTTCTTCTAAATTGCTCGACTTGAAACTGAATTGACCTCAAATCTGCTTGACAACCATCTATCTCTAGAGCTCAGTCTGAGTTTGTAGTCTTTAGTAGAAAATAACTACAGTTTCACTACTTGTTTTGCTGGTTCTGCACCACTTCTGAATTAAATCAAGAGTTCTTAGAGGCACCTGGCGTAGTACAAATATGTGCTCATCAGGGTTAAGGTATTGTCAGTTCCTTGTTAAGGTATTTTCAGTTCATCATCAAGTCCTCGGGAACAGAGTACCCGGAGAGGACACCAGACCAATGATCACACAGGTAATGATGCTTGGAAGCCTGATGCGACCGCTCAGTCCTCAGGGCATTTTTCTTTGTGATTTCCGTTTTCTTAGATTTCTCTAGGTCCAGGGCCCGTGAAGGAATTCCCAAATAAGGGATGCACACTATAGTAGATGTCTAAAATCACATTATATACTATGACAGACATTACCGCCATGTATGCCATTAGATAGTAAAAAAAAAAAGACCATGCTGATTTTCAGCAGGTGCACAGATTTCTCAAATAATCATGTACATATCAAAACATATACTTCTCGCAATACCAAATGGATGAAGTCTATATATACCATTTCAGATGTTTCTCTAATGCTTGTGAAATAAACTTTGTGAATGAGGGCCCACCACTCCTACTCTAAGATGATTGGTAGATGTATTCTAAGGTCTGTGCAGCCTGCATGGACAGCATCATTAATCAGTAAGGGCTGTTGTCTTAAAGGCCCAGCTTGGAAACCCAGAGTAGTACCATCATGTATCAAACTGAAACTTAACTAACAAGGGAGTAATGTTTCGTTTGGCCAATGACTCGATCGCAAAAGTGTAGACTAAAAAATGCTAAAGTCCAACTTGTTAGTAGTTAGACGCTCGTGATTTGTCAACTGGGGGGGGGGGAGGTGCTCGTGAATTGTTGTTACGGAAAGAGAGGGGTTTTAGGTTGCCATAAGGCTGTTGACGGTCTTATTATACATCCATTGGTTGGTTTTGTGGCACATTGGTGACGCTGTGCCAACTTGGGCAAGCACGCAGGGTGGAGAGGTGGAGTGAGGTTGAGCGATGGAGAGAAAGGGAGAGAGAGAGAGATTGAGCGAGGCAGAGAGCGTGTGCAGCGGTCTGCTTGCGCACAGAGCAGGAGTTTGTGAGAGAGCCGGCTTGAGAGTCAATTTCTCTTCAAAATGTAATTGATTGCCAGCCTCCCTTGTCCCTGGCTGGCTTGCTAGCTCGTTGGTAACGTAACTGATGTGCCTGCATCTGGCGCTGAGCTGTCATATTCCTTTTGTGAGCTCTTGTTCGTGAACCACTTCCTGATATCCATTGTTGTCGATAAATATAAAGGATAATAGCCAAACTAACCTAGCAAGAGTAAACTGACAGGCTGCTGTGCCGCATCTCACTTAAAAACCCACACGACTCATCCCAGCGAAAAACCAGTCTCGCGCGCAGCTTTCATTCAGAATTTCCTAGCAAAATAAAAAAATGCTATTAAACTAATCTTTCAACATAGTTTAATACAAAAATAAATATTAGGACAAAGCCCTACAAATAACAACAACAAACATAATAATATAACAATTTAAATGTTGTGTTCAGCCCTGATTAAAACAGCAGGCCCAAATCCTGGATGGGCAGCCCGGCCCTATGGGGCCCACCATGACGCCGGGTCTGTCTGGTGGTAGTTTATATCTTACTTATTGTTCACAAATCCACCAAGAAAACCAAAACCAACAATAAACTGAACCTAATAACATGAATTGCCTGTGGCCAATTTCTAATACATTTATTATTATAAATCATAATTTATCAAGGACCATGCATAAATGGGTGAAGAAAGGTAAAACACTGGTCGATTCCAGGCTTTTATTGTGCAAACTGACTAACATTGGGACAAAATGGACAAAGAAATAATACAGAGAAATAATAGTCTAACTAGAATGGGTTAACAATTGTCGTTGGATTATTGGTTAAACAGTATCCTAAACCTATTGGATATGGATCCAAAGGTCACTGCTTTTATGGCTGTAATTGCAGAGTGAGTGTCATCCCGTTGTTAGACGAATGTGTGTGTCAAAACACCACAGACAGGAAATTAGAAGTACACAACACATGCATTGTACTGTCGCTACACTTCCAAAAGCTAGTTTGTAGCTCCACCCTGCTCATCTGCTGCAGAGAAGTGTGCTGATAATGTAATTTCCTGAGCCGGTGTCCTTCAATCTGGCAGAAAAATATGTCTGCCAATAAATCAAACAGGAAATACTGTGTACACGTGACCTGCCAAAACAAGTGTTTGGGCCTCAACTCAGGCATTGATATGGTAATTATGACAATCTCCAACTAATGTCCAATAGACATGAATATAAACTGACTGGTTTGAGGAGGTATGCGTACATTTTTTCTGTCACGATTTTGACGTACACACACACCTTCACACAGTCATTTATATAACACACTGTCTCACAAAGAAAATCAAACAATCTCCCCACATGCTCGCACAGAAAAACTGACTCTCTCTTCTGCTCGGCAGATTGATGCCCACGAGGACGACGTGAATGCGGTGGCGTTCGCCGACAGCTCGTCCCAGCTGCTCTTCTCTGGCAGCGACGACGCGCTGTGCAAGGTGTGGGACAGACGGACGCTGAGGGAGGACAGACCGCAGCCTGTCGGACAGCTGGCCGGACACCGAGACGGCATCACCTTCATTCACAGCAAGGTGGGGGGGGGGGCGAGGGGAGGAATGCTGCTGTTGTTTTATCAATCTGTCAATGACAAGTTCTACCGAAGCCTCATTGGTAGTTGGATTTGACCGATGATTGGTTGGAAGTTGATTAATGAAAAGCTAATATTAGTCTAGTGTAATCTACCCGGAGGTTTGTTTTCTTTTCTGTCTAAAACTCCTCATGTGTTGCTGCTCTGCCAGGGAGACGCACGCTATCTGATCAGCAACTCCAAGGACCAGTCCATCAAGCTCTGGGACATCAGGAAGTTTTCCCCCAAAGAGGGGCTGGCAGCTTCCCGTCTGGCTGTCACGCAACAAAACTGGGATTACCGCTGGCAGCAGGTTCCCCAGAGAGGTGAGGCAGAGAAGGAGACACTAATGGGGAATGAGTCAGGAGGGTGAAGCTAGAGGACAAGAGGAGGAGATCAACATGATGTGACGTTATCAAAGGAGCGAGACAGGGCCAATGACAGGGAGGTGGAACGTGGGTGGGCATGTGTCTTGAGGGTGAGGGGATATGACATTATTTAAACAGCGCATGGAAACATAACCAATGCAAGTGAAAGAGGAGGGAGGGCCTAGAGGAGAGGTGAAGGATGGGAGCTAGGGTAATGAAATCCAGCAGGGAGTGAAAATCCTCAAAAAACAAACATCTGCCTACTTTCTAAGCTGGAATACAGATGTTAAGGACATACATGAGCTCTCTAAGTCTATGTAGTTGTGATTACTTAGTTTTGTATGTGTTTCTTGCAGCCCTGAAGAGACACAAGCTGACAGGCGACACCTCGGTGATGACGTACCGCGGTCACGGCGTTCTGCACACCCTCGTCCGCTGCCGTTTCTCTCCAGAGTTCACCACCGGGCAGAGGTTCATCTACTCTGGCTGCTCCACTGGCAAAATCATCAGTGAGTCTCACCATGTGATCGTATGTGTGTCTGCACTGTGTAGGACTGGTATTATGTGTCTCCATGACAGTATTGGCCCTATGTTGTGGATTGCCTTCTAACACTGCATCATCTCTGTGTAGTCATTTTTACATGGGAAATCAATGCAGTGGGGGCGATTAGAGGGGCTTGATGCAGACAAGTACTGAATATGTGGATTTTTCTTGTGTCTTCTTTCCAGTTTATGACGTTCTGACGGGCAGCGTGGTCTCCAGACTGTCGGGCCATGAAGCGTGTGTGAGGGACGTCAGCTGGCACCCGTACGAGGACAACATCATCAGCAGCTCTGTGAGTCTAACTGGAGTCCGTGTGTAAACGCTCGTGATCAGAGATATTGCTTTTAATGAAACATTTGTATTGAGGGGAATTACACCAGATATTGTTTTCTCAAGTTAACGCAGTGCCATGAAATCAAGAGACGTTTGAAGTTTTGCGGAAAAGTGTTGCAAAGACAGGATGTTTGAGCGACCCCTGTCCTCATCCACCTTTGTCTCTCCACAGTGGGACGGAGCGGTGCGAATGTGGGAGCACAGAGAGACCCATCCGCTAGAGGAGGAGAGAGAGCGGGAGAGAGACTGTCCGGCGACGGACAAAAACCTTTAAGGCGGCGAGAGAAGAAGAAGAAGAAGAAGAAGAAGAAGAAGACGAGACAGAAATGAAAAGATGAGGAAATGACCTCACTGCAGAAAGAGCCTCGCTGACCCTAACGAAGGAAGACAATAAGCCCTGAAGAACTGGGAGACTTAAACATCGTTTACATTCAATGCTGGATATTATTGATTTCAATTATAACGAGTTGAAAAGTGTAAATCTGGAGGGCAATGAAGCCTAACATCCAAGTGCAGATTAGGACTCAGTGGGACGGCCTGCTTCTGTTTTTGCCTCACTGTCAACAAGCCAAAGCTTCTAAACTTGGCCCAGGAAAACGTGCTCAGACATGTAGCACGGCCCTTACTTAATGAGCAACGAAAAAATGAATGGTAAGTTAGTTATATAGAAATCGATTTTGGGTGACGCAGGGACAAACTGACGAGGGTAATTCTGTATAAATGTATAGTATTTTAATGGTATGTGCATTCAGGGAGGGGGTTTAGATTGTTGTCAGTGTGCTGATTAGGATGTTGATGTTATTAATGACATAAGCTGTGTCCTATTTGAGGGGCTGTCAAGTTAAAGGCTGGTTATATTATATGAAGCCAGCACATTATTTACCAATTGCCCCAAATTAGGGAAACTTCCTAGTGGTCAACATCCTATTTCGTTTTCCATTAAACCAAGTTGACCGGAAAACCCGTATCGTGACTTTTACTTGCAATTTCCTAATGATTTTATGTTCAAACCTCTTAAAACTGTCTCAAGTTTAAACACAACCCCTCTAGTAAACACAGCGATGGTCTGAAGTCTTATTATTGATCATGTGTCAGCACTCTACTCTGTAAAACAAGCCCTGGGTGTAAAACAAGTAGTTTTGTTTGCCAATATAAACCTCTGATCTGTTTCAAAGATTTGAATGTGTGTGATAATAGGTATTACTTTGTGAAGGGACTGGATCAAAACGTACACACTGATCTGTATATGCAATTTCCAGGTGTTCATAGGTCACTCTCAGAACATTGTTTTACAGTAACAATAAAAGCTTTCTTTCAATGTATTGCAGGATACTAAATTGTGTGAGAATGAAGTATGTAGATGTTTTCAAATTTGCTCTATCGGCAAAGCTTTGAACATCTAAAAGTGAGACTCAGAGAAAATGCTGCAATTACATATAGAGTTAGGAGTGAACTAAATGGAGAAGTGGCGATTTAGACACTCGTCACACTGAACACAGATCACATGAACAGTTTATTTCCCCTACAAATTGAATTTGCCCGAAGCGCATAACAGACAACTGACAATAAGCTGCTGTCGCTTGAAGGTCGTTGTAATGACAGCAATGCAGTTAAGTGGTCTAAAATTAGACGGACATTCTTTGACATGTCTGGTTTTATTTTCACTTCCTACTTAATATATCACAACACAGCGGTGGTAATCATGTATCCTCTCGGCTACAGTTTCAAGGAAAGGAAATAATCATTTATCAGGAAAAGGAGGCCACATCTGAGGAAAACTTGGAAAGTAATCAAAAATGCTTTTCCTCTTTGTTTAGTCATTTTAAATCAGAATTCACTTGCATTTGAATTATGGGAAGAAAGTCTCCCCCTTGTATCTAATCACATGAACACTGTAACATCTGTGCAACAAATAACTTATGGGCTTTTCTTACTGCTGTTACTATGGGTGTAGAGCCTGTATTAGTAGTGGGACTGGATGTCCTGGCTTGTGAAAGCAGTTCTTGTATGTTTTATTGAGCATAAATCCCACGGAAAGACTACATTTACTCAATTTGGCTCTGGGAGTTGAGAGGGCTGGAGAGGCTTTGGGCCTGGAAATAAGGGGGACAAAGTGCTGGGAGAAACGCAGCTGTTGATGGCGCCAAATGCAGACTGGCAACAGTTTACAACTTAAATTAGTGTTGGCTCCGACAGCTGATGCTAAGAATGGAGAGACTGAAAGAGAACCAAAGAAGGAGCCAATTGTATGTCAGAATGCTTCTTTTAACAGCAATATTTCCAAAGTAGTTGTAGTCTTTCTAATTGGAGCAAATTCACAAAACGTTGGATCATTTTTAGAAAATAACTGGGTCACTTACAGCAGCAGCTATTAGCATGTCCACACTCAGAGTCTATGTTGAGAGGGGGAGGGCTTTGGAGGGTAAAAGGGACAGAGGGGTTGTATTTTTATAAACCATGTGTTCCCCTGCACGTCTGACAGTGATAAAGTAGAAAGGCTCCCAGAGCAGAACTGGTGTGCCTTTCAAAGACAAAAGAAAGTGACGCAGACTCCACCAAGGGGCTCAAATGGACACAAAGAGCAAAGAAGAGGAGAACACTTTAATTCAAAAACGACTTAAGGTCTCATCAGGAGGACAAATGGACATGGATTTAAAGACTGAAAACTCCTCAAATGGCTTCTCAACACAGATCAACTTGGAGAAGTTGCAAAAGATGGCTGCAGAGCTGATACTGCTGGGAAAATTCCTCGTGAGACTCCTGAATGCTGCTCTGGTGTTTGTAACAAACTTGCTGGCCAGGATGTTAGGGAGCAAGCTGGTGAGAGGACACTTCCACCTGATGCTGTCTGCGTTGCTGCTGTTTGGTCCTGTGCTCAGCCTCTGGGTGCCAAAGTACAGCATCTTCGCCAACAGCAACAACTACCTGTACAGGTATGGTTGTGATTCTGCTTATGAATGGAAATCTCATATGTGAGAGTACATACTACTGCTGGAAACTGATAAAGTGGCCGCATGATTTTCAGTTAGATCTGCATGCTTCTTTAAAACTTGTCATGAAGGGGTCTCATTATGACCCCAAAGGTCATTTAACTCACCTGGTTGAAAGACAGTTACATTTTAGAGCTAAACTTACACTTTACACATTCACGCAAACAAAAATTAAGTGGGTATAGTCATGAATATGTCTACTGTCCAAACATAGACTTACACGGGTAAGACATAAGTACATAAGTTAAGTCATTGTACGTAAATAGTTAATACATCGATGTATTGTGTCATCTTTATCATTCTTGGTGTGGAATTATGTTAACTTTTAAAAAAAGTTTTCACACATTCTTTGTCCTGAAGTGGACAGTTTAATTTACGAGCAGTGGGATAGGATACATCCTTTCTCATTCACTACAAAGGGTTTTGTGCCTTCTTCAGCCTTTTTCAGACTGGCATGAACATTAGCTTATTAGCTAATGCTAACAAATTCTGCCCGACTCCTTTTTACCTGTGCCACTCTTACGTCATGAATTAGCATTTAGCATTATCCTAACCTGAGGCCCATTCAGTAAAGGTTAATATATTGTAATATTTAAAAGTTAATTTATTGTTATATTTAAAAGTGAATACATTACCATAAAGCTATTTTATGGTTATTTGAGAATTCAAGCCAGAGCTCGTTCACCACCGTTCATCCTTTGCTAGAACAAATTTAAGTGGATTTAAATATGTAATATACTCGACCTTATAAACCTCCAGTAGATCCGATTAGCAAGAGGCACAAATATGACTTTTTACTGCATGGTTGTATTGTATTTATAGTGACTTTTCATGGGATTTCTGTTCTCTCACAGGAAGTTCTTGAAGTCTACTTGGGGCTGGACCTGCATCTTCTCAGGTTCCTTCATTCTTCTCCTCTCCATCTCAGCCCGTCACCCCCGCTCCCTCCTCCTGCGCCACCTCTCCCGGATCGTTGTGGTAGGGCTGCTCTTGTGTGTCTGTCACCGTCTCCTCACCCTGCTGGAGGACGCATCAGGAACCTGTTATGAACCTTTGAAAGGCTCCTCGGTACAGCTGCTCCTGCATGAAGACCGCACAAAGCTCACCTGCCTCAGAGCCAACATGGTGTGGAGAGGTTACGAAGTGTCCCAGGACGTCCTCATCGTCTGCTTGTGTTGCCTGCTGCTTATGGAGGAAATGTCTGTCTTTGGTCCTTACCTTGCTCAAACAAAGATGTCGCCAGGAGCCCCTTTGAGGTTAATCTTCCTCCTGTGTGTAGTCCTTCTCTCTCTATGGATGTTCGTGCTTCTGTGTTTGCTTGCACACTTCCCAAAGTTCCCGGCCCAGCATCTAGGAGGAGCTCTGGGCTACCTGGGATGGAGGGGCCTCTATCAGGGGTGGTACAGACTCAAACCCAGCTGGGGCTGTCCTGCTTTGCCGGGAGAGGGGCTTTTTACCACCACGGACCTCCACTAACAGCCTCAGTAGTTTGAAAAGCATTAATAGATCATGTTTTAGGGACATGACAGACCTTTAAAGCTCAGGCTCAAGTCAAAATGGCTTCCGTTTAGGGTTGTCAGAGATGAAACACCAAATAACTCTTGGCACCATATCAATATGCAAATTACTTATTAGGCCTGGTGATAATTTTTGTATTCACAGGAAATTGTGCCATTAGTCCTGAATGCTTGTACGGGTGTGTCATTGGAAAACATGCTTTTTGTATTCTGTACCCTTACCATAGAGTATGATGCAAAAAAAAGACTTTAAACTAAATTGATAGGTACAAGGGTTTTTAAGTCCCATGGTAAACAAACAAACATACTTTCTAAACCCTATAGTTGTTTTTGATTCCATTATATTTGTATTTATGTTGTTGCCTGTCTTATCCAGGTCTTTCTTTAAAAAAGAGATTCTTGATCACAATTCAAATTCCCCTTCGGACAAACATGAGAGCAGACAAAGTATCGCAATATGTAGCTTTATTTTGTAATCTGAACCAAAAGGGAGGCACAATGAGAAAAAGAAGACATTTTTGTCAGAGCGGGTGTATTGTTACTCGAGTGTCACACTATACAGGTTGTATCTTGTTAGAGAAGCCTGGGAGTGTGCTGCAGTCTCAGTAGATGAGAGCCTTTCCGTCTCCTCTGGGCTTCTTAATCTTGTCATAGTTCTTGTTAATGATGTCGAACAGCACAGCCTGCAGAGGGAGATACAGCGAGACACATCAGTGGAAATGGTGCGCGAGAAAGAAGATATTAGAAAGATGGACGACGTGTGAGAGAGACAGAAAGGTCAGAGGCAGTAATAAAAAGAGAGGGAGACGATCAGATCCAGAGCTGTAATCGCGTCAAACAGCTCCTTTCATCATCACCTGTACAGCCTTGTTCATTAACAGCATCAAACACAGGAGGACAATAGCCAGAGGAAGGAGACAAACACTGATTAATGGATTCGGGATGGAGCACCAATCAATTTTACGAAAGCACAGCAATTAGTTTAATTACCCTCCTATTAAGAAGGAACGGATTCCATTTAGCCGCCGGGACAAGAGTGGAATATTTTATAGATTGCGGGTAGTTTTATATTTAAAGTGCAGAGCGTGATCACAACAGATGGAATATTAACGTTGATAAATGTGATTTACAATATTCAGATGACACGGACTGTAATGACGTCAAATTGTCAACAGTTGCTTTTTTAAATGCAATTTTTTCTATCTGATCCATTTCCAGATTTCTCTACACTGACAAATATATTAAACGGTGTCTTACATATGTGTTGCGGATGTCCAGGACTGCAAGGCGGAGCTCACAGTACTGATACCGATCCAGCTCATGGACCAGCTGTCTGTAGTCTCCCTGCAGCAGAGAGCACACGACACAGAGTTTATATGCAACACACAGAACATGGCTCATCCAGGAATGTGTTTGACAAATGACAAACAGAAGCACAAATACATGCTTCTTAAACCACTCTGACAACAGACTAAAATAGATACTGACCACGTGGTTTTGTTTGGAGGCTTTGGCCACAGCATCACCTCTCTCACTGTGATATCTAACAAAGAGCAGAAAGAGAAGTTTATAACATTCATAAATAGGCCTAAACATCTTTAAAATCACTTAATGTTCCCAGTAATTGTTCAAACATTTAAAAATGGTGATATCTAATTGTGATTGAAGCAAATCTGTAACATGTGGATCAGTGGCCACTGCAGCTAAAAGTGACAGTTATGGCAGAGTGCTAAATACTAGTTTGGCGTTTAGCTAAAATGCTAAGCTAACACATCCACACAGATAAAACAATATATTTGTGTGACTGTACTTTTTCTTTATCATTTTAATAAATAAAAAAGGTCAACCAAAAGGGATATACTGCATGTGTGGGCTCTTACTTTGAAATCTGAGTTTGGAATGCTTCGATCTTGGTGCGTGTGTTGGTCAGCAGCTCGAACACTTTCTCCTGTTGGAAAAATATATATATAAAACCTAGTCGACACATTTCACTAGAGAAACTAGTCAACCGAATGCCAAAAGGTTTTTTCAAGACAGTTAAAAATATTCTAGTGATCTAACAAATCCTCCTTGTTTACCCACCTGTACAGCCACTCCAAAGTTGTTTCCATCTTCAATCTTAGGGATTTGGAGCTGCACCCACATGGACACCTGCCCAGGAAAATCTGATTAGTTTTAGTATTTAATGCAGTATACAAGTTTGGGATGAAGGCAGCCGAAACAATTACAACCCAACACTACTTTAGAAATGTGTTTGGCATATCCCTTATGCTATGCACTAGAGAAGTAAAGGCTACACTACATTTGGAATGATGTCTTCTTGGTATTAAATCTAGCTAAAACACTAAATAAGAGACTGACCGTGTTGAGCTTCTCCTTCAGAGTCTGGATCTGAGGCTTCACCTCCTGCAGGAGACTCTCCACCTTCTCGTTGCTGCAGATGGGACCACAAGGAGGCCCTGGAGGACAAAACATCCCAAAATATTGCTTTATTATTCACCAGATCAATCAGGTTCAATACGGCGTCACTTGGTGTGCTTTCTAAGATTTTGAATTGACATGCATATAAAATGTCTTGAACAAAAACAAATACCAATCAATTATGTCTTGCACGGATTGTTTTGTAGCTAATGTTTTCATAAATATTTCATGTTTTTAAATTCTCTTTTATAATGGGTTTACCTCTTGCAATGAGGTTTGTGAAATGAAACTTTTGAAAATCGCAATCCTGACATTTTCTTTATTTTTCCACTTTTATAAAAGAAAAGGTTCATAAACAGAAAACTGCAATTGAAAAGGGATAAAAAAAAAAGACTGTTTGATACTGATAGTGTTGCAAAGTGTTCTACATCCACTGCAGTATGCTGATTTATGACATGTCGTCCTCATGCCTACCTGAATCCTCGTCCTCTTTATCGCTGTCCTTGTCTTTCTTCCCCTCTTTGGCCTCTTTCTGCAACATGAGAACAGGAGGCAGCAGGTCAAAGAGTTTTCAGTGCCTATTCATCTCTTAGACAGCTCTCCCACATGCTTTTTTTACATGGCTAAATGAAGATGTCAACGTTTTTTCTTTGTCTAAGAAATGTAACCTAGTTCCATCAGTCCCTGCTCCGTGCACAAAGCTTCTGAGCGCACCCCGACAGCCAGGTTTGTTTCCAGAGCGGCTGTATAATCCCAAATATTATTTCAAGCCAGTTTTCCCCAAATAAAACTACTGAGACTGGCAGCGCTGCGCTATTTCCTCCTCTTAATCCAAGTGTGAATTGTGACAGCTGCTAAAATAAAAAGGAGAGCATACATAAGGGATATAATAAAGGGTAATTTTACTGAGTGATTTTTCTGCTTTCCTCTTAAAGTCAATGATCATTGTATGCTGCATACAGCACATTCAGTATATATGTAAGAACTATATTGAATGTCATTCCAATAAAAAAAATTGAAGCTTTTTTGATGCCAGATAAAAAAAAGCATATCAGGTCAATTTAGATGTTTAAATATCACCCACTCTCTTCTGGATTCTTAAGCAGTCCTTGGTTAGGCACAGCAATTGTAACCATAGTAACACACAATTCAGACATGTTATAAAACACTAAATATAAATCCTTGACTGAGGATGCCGGTCGACTGGCTTTATGCAGCGCCCAAGGAGAAATTTGATGGTTAGGAAACTAAATCACTCAAGACTGCCTATTATGAAGCCTATGACACTAACTTACTACAGAACTGGTGTTTACTTCCCATTCAACCCTGAAGTGCTCTTAATTAAGCATTAAACTGATAATTGGTCACACTTTCTGCCTTCTAAAACAAAGAAATCTCTTGTATGCCTTAAAGTATTTTGGCTTCTTCCAATCAGCATGCTTCCTTTATTGGAGTGGCATAATCTTTTTAGACAGCCTCAATGCTTCGTGAAGTGGGACAGACCTCCTCTTTCTTCTTGCGTTTGGCCTCCTCTTTGGCTGGGTCTGGGATCGGGATGTCCAGGGGAGCCTTCAGAGACGCCAGGTCATCACAGCTGAGGGAAGTCTGATAGAAAAACATCAATGTTTGGTTACATCTTTTAGGGATTGAATTACCCTTTCATATGTCAAGTGCTCTTACAGCTCAGGATCAGCCGAAAGACACTAAGCTATACAAAGTTCTATTGCTGAGAAAAAAGAACAGGAAGCAGGCTGCAAAATTAACTTTCTGGTACACATGCCAAATGGCTAGTGAATGTTTTAATTTGACCAGCCACTCACTCCAAAATCCCCTTCAGGGCCCAGTACTGGAAAGTAAATAAGTACTTTTAATCAAGTGCTGGACTTAAGTAGGATTTTTTATGCAGTATTCTTACTTTCACATTTAGTATTTATACACTACTGTGTTTGTACTTTTACTTCATAAAAGGATCTGAATACAAGAATACGATATGGCTAATAGAGTCACATATACCTTCAGCAGCATCTGCAGCTCTTCAATCTTCTGAGGGAAAAACTTGTAAACCAGCTCTTCTGCCTGTTAATTAAAAAAGCAAAACAAATGTAGTTCATAGACCCAAAACGTTTCTTATACAATGTGACAAACATATTTATGGGACAGCTGCTAGAGGTTTCTGACCATAATATACATTACCTCTTTGGTGAGCTTTTGGCAGAAGTCATCCACCTGCAAATGAAGAGATTATAGGTTCAGTTGAGGGATTAGCGAATATATTTAAACACACAGTATCTAGTCAAATCTGTATGTCTAGTTATCAGAACAAACATTTAACTGAATACCTGAGACAGACAGACAGACAGAAAGACACTTTGAAGAGAAAGGGGTTGATACCATCATGCTAGCAGACATACGAGCTCACCTGTTTCTTCGACTCGACACGAATACCCACAGCAGCCATTTCGTCTCTGTGGATGAAAAAATAGTTAATACGTTTATAAAAGCGTTTACATTTGAAAAAACTGTAATCAAGAACAATAACTGTGTGTAATTTAATGCCGTGCACGACACGAGCCAATACTCACAGTTACTCAGCAGAAAAAGCGAAAATGAAAGTAAGTTTAGACAGTTCCTGACTTCCCCCTGACTTTCCCATGGATGTAAAAACATCTGTTGCATTGTGGGACTTGTAGTTTCTAGCAAGCGTTAGCGTTTAATTTCTCATAAAGAGCCATGAGAAACATCCTATAGCCTGAAGGAACATACTCACAAAATGGTTACGATTTTTTTTAATCACGATAATATACATTTCCTAAATAATACATATTATTTAGAATGACTGCATATAATCATTATATTATACGTTGTAAATACATACCTCTAGAAAATAAAGAGACTTTTTTAGAAAATAATACATATTTTTCAACTGCAAC